AGTGGGGGAGGGGAGGAGCGGACGCCGCCGCCGATGGGTGGTGGGAGAAAGTTTGTGTACGCGTGATCTGATTTTGGTGGTGGAATTGTGATGTGGTGATGCTGCATGATATATGTATGTTATATAATATTTATTTAATGTAATGATAAAACAAAATTGGGTGGTTTACGTTGTTTTTTCTTTGGGGTTGTTCAACACGATCTCATATATCTATGATGACTTCCATGGATGTGGTATTTATATGCGTTGATTGACTATAGTTGGTTGTAAGGAAAATTTTGACATTACAGCTATGGGAAATTGATTTAAATCTCTGATTTGACTACATGGCATTTTATCTTCATGTTCTATATGTCATTTTTGGGGTCGTTCTGTTGCCATTTATGATTTATGTCATGTTTCTATATTTTTGGGTGTATAATGTGTTACCGTTAGAATAAATTTATAGGCACTGTAATTGATTTTGGGAGATTAAGAAAAAAAATGATTTGATGCTACAGATACATAGTTTTTCTATCTTCTTCCTCTGTTTCTTTCTAAAAAGTGTTGCTACCACACCATTTAGTAGAAAATTGGGAGCAAATTGTAGAAAATTTATTCGAATACATTGGAATTATTACCTGAAAAGAAAGTCAAATAGGAGACGTGCTGCTTGAAAATGGCACAACAATGTGGTGGCTTCAACTGATGCAGTTATGGTGAAGTAGAGCAAAGGTACAGTTCAAAGATAGTTTTGATTGAAATAATTTTAAAGGGGACAATTCCTGCCCAAAATTTTTTTCTATCATCAAATACAAATCTGCCTTTGGGAAGAGTGGAAAATGGCAATCAAAACACAGGAAGGATTGTATAAATGGAAAATCATAAGATTCGATTTGTGCAATGCTCCTAGTATCCTTATGTGGCTTGTGAATGTGGTAATTAATCATTCATGGACACCTTTAGTGTTGTTTATTTTGATGATATATTGTTTTTTAATGGCTCTATGATTGATCACTTGATCTATATATCTATCCAAAATATTTAAAGTTTTAAAGATTCATGAAGTTTATCTAGATAGTATTATCTTTGAGTTTGTTGCCTCTATTATGTGCTTTATAATCTTGGATGTGGGGCTCAAGATTTATCAAAGGAAAGCTTTGGCTATTCTAGAGTGGGTGACTTTCATGTCTTCATTTGATGCTTTCAAGTTTCACAGGCTTGCTAATTCTTACTAGCAATTAATAAAGGGTCTTGGTATCAATACTGACTGATTGTTTGAAGTTTAAAACCTTTTTTTTTAATAGAAGCATGTTAATGAAAATTTGAGTTTAGTAAAAGTTTTTAATTTCATAAAATACTAATTATTTCACCTAAAATTGAAATGAACTCCAAATAAACCAAAAATTTAATGAAAATATTAAAAGAACATGCTCTACCACTTAGATAGTTTTTAAAATTTATGAAATTAATTTAAATTTTTTAACTAATTTTAAATCATTAAAAATCATAAGTTTTAAAAAGCTGGAATTAAATCAAAATAATTCCAAATTTATGTTAGAGATTTCTTAAGTCACCAATGATTTTGAAAAAAAATGTTTGCATAAAATTTAAAGGTTACTTTAATATGCATGTGAACATTTCAATAAAAAATTAAATAAAATTAATTTTAAAAATAAATATAATTTAATAAATTCTATATTTTTTTTTGGTAAATTTCTTTGGTCTTCCCAAACCTTAGAAAAAAATTCCATAAATTTTAGAAATATTGAACTTTTTTTTTTAATTTATGTTCCAAGAAATAATGAAAACGTGGAGGATGGGTGCGGAACTAATTAAAAAAATTTAAATTACTTAATCCTACCTTAAAATTTTTTACAGTCTCCATCTAGTCACTTTTTAACAGTGACAAAAATCTTTATATAATTTTCAAGATATTGCCATAATTATCTAAATTTATCTTTAATCATCAAGTAAAAATTAATTTATTGAAATATTGACTAAACCATTTAATCTTAAAACTCAATAGCATTGACTTTGAGTTTATTTATGAATAATAGGATCAATCTCATGCTGTTTTGTAGAATAATTGACTTAAGGTAAACTCAAATTAAATAAAAGATAAATTAAATGGAAAATTGAATCAAAATTAAATCATAGTTTCTTAAGGCATTAAATAGCTTTAGTTGTCATTACTTTGGTGGCCCTTTTATCTCTATTATTGAGGGGTTGATCCTACAGGACTAGGGTGTCATAAGTGGTGAAAACCTCTATTGTTGGGTCTCGCTTTCCTTAGAACTTTTTAAAACATTATATTTTAATTGAACTTATTCAAAATCATGAACTTAAAATTTAAAGACCCTATAATAACATATCAAACAAATCAAAATAACTAAAATACTGAAAATATAAAGCAGTTGTACGTGTTGAAATCACAAAGAAAAATGACACAAATATTAACAATAAAAAAATGTAGCCAAATAGAAATACTAGTAAAATAACAAAAATAAGAAACTTGAAAATGTTACAAATACATTAAAATAACTTTCAAGTCTAAAATTCAAATATTAAACTAAAATTCTCTTATAAATTGAAAATAAGGTCGTCTCCCTACAATGATGCCAAAAACTTGATGACTAAAAGACAGTGAAGCACCGATAATCACACAAGTATACTTGTCAATCAAGTAGTATAAAGAATTAAAGTCCGTACATCGATTCCACAATGAATAAATTTAACTTCCAAGTAAATCAAAGTTTAGTTTGCTAAATTGCCTACTTAGTTTGAAAGTTTGAAGGCTAAGTGAATTTCAAAGTTATCTTAATTTTAAAGAAAGAAAAATATCAAAGTAAAAAATTGAGATATCTATCAGATTTTCTATCAATTGAATGATTATCCTTTGAATTAGACCTTAAAAATCCAGGCTTAACGATATGGTAAAATTATAGGTGACAATTAGGAACAACCCTCCTACTTTTCCGTCCCAAGCATTTAAGAAAGCTAATTTGAAAATCAAATAGCTTTAGTTCTCTAAGTCAAGTGATTTTACCAAGATCTCATGTTTTCCTTAACAACTCCACTAAAAGAGAGGGATATCCCTATTTTCCTAAGTCAGTGTGAGTAAACTTAAATATTACACTAGTTTGCTCGTACACAATTAGATCAAACTCATATTAACTATTCAACTGACCTGATTGAAAGTTAATGAAAATTAGAAGGTTAAAATATCACCACTCTAAAATTTCATTTTAATCACGACATAAAAGTTACACGCAAGATTTCTTAATGTCAATTCTCGTGAGGAAATGAAATCTACACACTACTCATGCCTTAAAATAACAAAAAATATATTTTATTCATCAAGCTAATTAAAAAAGAGAGTTTTTGTATAAAACGTTAGTTGAAAATATCATGAAAATGCTACACTAAAGTTTCTTTCTCCTCAAAGAGTTTTACTGGATTACATGAACAAATTACACAAGAATCCCTCACACACTCTCCTCACAAATAATTCTCTACATTTAACTCATTCACTAGAAATCTACTTAAATGGTTCGACAAATCACATATAACACTTTCATCATGAAATGATGCAAGTGAACCATCAATATCACCAATGCACGTGATTGAGTTCCTAGGAGGTACTTTGTGACGCTTGATCCACCCCAAATGTGTGTGAAACAATAATGAATATCCTGATATTCTCACTAGAAATTTGATCAACTCCTTAGTAAATTGATTAAGTCCTTAAATATAAATATTCTTTCACACTAGGGTTTCTCACAGAAGTATATGCATCGTTTCAATAATACGGGTCTCTACTAAGTCCAGATGTCGATCCCACAGGGAATGTGGTAATGACTCTAATCAGCAAAGTTCTAGTTTACTATAATAGGGTCTTAGTTTGGAATGTAATTTAAAGTGTTCTTTCTAACAATTATTCCTAAATTACTGCACTAAATTAAAAGGCTAATTCTAACTATTCTTACTAGTTTTGATTATATCAAGACATGAAAGATACCAATCTCTTATGAGTGCATAACTAAAAATGTAGGATATGTTACTAATAATCTAATATGGCTAGTGACAATAGGAGCATGAATCTAAGTTATCATCTTCTGAGTGTGTAACATAGTTTAGTTTAACTCAGCAAGTGTTTCTTCTCGTCACCCTAGAAACTCTTAAGTTAAATCCCCCCAAAAATTATCTCCCTATCTAATTGTATTGTATTATGGACTATTTTTACTTCACTGATAAGTTCAATGTAGTTTTTTTTAGTTGATAAAGCCATAGCCGTTCCAGATCTTTATGGGCTTGTAACAAGTTTTAATACATCAATTGGCTAGATTGGTTAGTAATGAGGCATGAAGTAAAACCATCACATTAAGATTAAAAGTTCAATTTCATAAGTATCTTTTCATCCTACATATCCTACATATGCATCACCAGAGAAAGATAAAGAAAACTTACGCACTAAGCATGAAGAACATGCTGAAAACCTTCATCAGACAACCAAATAAATCCACTAAGTATGTGTTACAATGATTACAATAAAAAAATAGAAGAAATGCTTTGCTTTTCTTCTCTTAAGAGATGAAAATTTTCTCCCAGCACTTGATCCAAATTCTCCTTGCACTGATGAATGGACACCCACCAAAAGCTCAAGCAAAGGTGGTAACTATACAAACCCTAAGTCTCATTAGAGTTTCTTTGCCTTCCTTTACACTTTCATTGGCTTCCCAGATGTTCCTCCTGCTCCCTGGTGCTTCTAATTAGTTCCTCTTTTCTTTTCCTCTTACAAAATTTTTTGCCAAACTGCTTAAAACCATCAAATAACTCCTAACGTCGCAGTTCAACAACTGCAGAAAATGGTTGTGCTTTGGTGCCCAGGAACCTACTTATTGGGTAGATGTGCAAGTACTGACGCCTAGGCACCCAAATGCTGGCACCAAGGCGCTTTAATGGGGCATCTTGGTGCCCAAGATCTTGTGTGAAATCCAAGTTTTCTCTATTCGGCTCCTTTTTGCTACTTTTCAACCCTACTTCACTCTAAGTATTATATCTATTATATCTGCACGAAAAATACTAAACTACCTTTCTTTAAAGTGCAGTATCATATAAAAACAAGTGTAAAAGACAAAGGAAATAAAACATGCTTTAAGACATTTCAGCGCCTGGGCACTATACTCACACACGTGGGAGCTGCAAGGCCAACACCTCTTTTCCAAGCTCTCTATAATCCAATACCTTTTGAATTAGGGCGTTTGGCACCGAGGCACTAAGATGTTGGTGTGTACCCTGAGCGTTGTAAGGCTAGTGCCCACTTTTAGAGTCTCTTATCTTTGATTGGTTAGAATCGAAGGTTTTGTGCAACTAGACACTGTTCCTTTGGTACCTAGAGGCTGGTTCTATCCTTAGCTTGATTTCGATCATTTGATGCCCCATTAGTCTTTTTACCTATACGGTATAATATATAATAAAAATACATTTCAAAAGCACAATATTAACATAAAAATAAAATAAAACACAATTATAATACATATCATGCAACTTTGCTCATATGTATCCTTCTCCATCTAGATTACTAGCCACTAACCTGAATTTACTTTAAAATCATCAAAGGACTTTTATGTTGAGAGTTTAGCATTTTTATTTATATTTCTTCACCATTAAATTTCATATGATGCCTCAACCTTGCTACTAATAGGTTTTTTTAATTCTGATTCGCTCAAATAAACCTTTACTCCTTCACTCCTTGTTAACTGAGGTAAAAATGCATCAGCATCTACTTTTCTTTTAGCTTTTTTGGACATTGAAACCTATTTTTGAACATATTCTCCCCTTCCTGGCTACCACATGTTCACTCTAAAGTGACCACTGTAGTAGTTGTTATTTCTGTCATTGTAAAGATGTGTTTTCCAATTATGTAAATTGTAATCAGTCAAATACAATTGCACCTCATGTAAATGATATTAACTTTATTGGTAATGCTCATGATTTATCTCATACTTGTTTGGAATCAAGCTATGGTAGTACATGTTTGGCCTTTTCTCTCTTAAACTGGAGCTCTTTTCCATATCTTCAACCTTAGCTAAACTTACTATTTTTATTCTGAATGATGTGCCCTTGAGCTTATTAAAACCTTAAAAATTAACCATGGTTGAATGTCCATGGTTGGTTGTACATGTTTTCAATATATTATAACTTCTTTAGATTCTGTTCAAAATTTTAAGAAATTCTCATTGGCACGAGAGCCCATGTTCTTCTATTTTTTCTTAAATTAAGAACAACACACTGTTTTCTTGACGAAATTAATGTTAAGTTATTTATTTAATGAAATCTCAAAGTAAACTTCTAATAAACTTCTAATTCTAATTTCTCAATTTCTCAAAAAAAAAAAAATTCAAGTACTCTAATGGATTTATTTTCCACATTTAAGAGCTTGTCTTTTTGATAATTTCATACTTTTTTATGGAGAACATTATTTCGTAATGTTTTGAACATTGATTATCACACAACTCATATCTCAAGATCATATATATCTTTTAAAATTATGTAGCTCAATTTGATATGTATTTTTAGACGTCATTTGAATTTATTCCCAAGAGAAAGGCTATTGGGAAATTTTGAAGGGAGATTAATTGTTTTTTTCTCAGTCAGCTTCCTAAACCTAATTTAGAGCTTGTAGAAAAAAATGCCAAAGAGAATGCCCTCCAGCAAAAAAGCAAATATAATTTTGTTTTTAAAAATGACATTCCTCATGTAGAATACAACACTATTATTTATATTCCTTTCACTATGATGATCACCAAGGCTTCTCCAATCGCCTGAAGTGAAAATCTTGTTACGCTTGTTGTTTTAGATTTATGAACTAATCATAGTTCTCAACATAATAGTTAACATCAAAATTTTAGTCTTATTGATAAGGTTGAGCCATTAATAGAAATTACCTCTAAATTCATTGATGATGCTTTTAATACTTCTCCTGTTAATAACTTCAAAATTTTAGTCATGTTGATGGAGTTAATATTTTCTTTTCTGACTATATTATCGTATCATTAGATTCTACAATTATCTCACAAAAACACTTTTTCTATCAATATTTTGATCATGACTAAGAATTTCAAGAAAGATTGAAGTTTGCTCATTCGTTATAAGCTCTGCGTGCACTTTAACATCCATCTTAGTATATTCTTCAAAAGATGAGAGATACTTCAAGCAATGATTAATAATTGGAACATATTCATCTAGCACTTGATCTCCATCATTTATAATTTCATCTCCAATAACCTTCAAGCAATGATTAATAATTGGAACATATTCATCGAGCACTTGATCTCCCAAATACTCTATCATTTATAATTTCATCTCCAATAAGCTTAGATCAAAGGATGACATCCCTTGGGCTTATCAAATTATCTTAAAGGAGTTTCTATGATTTTGCTGAAATATATAGAAGCAACAAGAAATGGCTAGCTTGAAAATTCTCCCTAAATAGCTAGCCCTTTAATTACATGTTTAACCTAAATAGCTAGCCCTTTAATTACATGTTTGATAACTAGTAGTCCTTCCTACTAGGAAATTGATTATAAGTACATTTTCCCAAATTGAGCTTAATATCAGAATGGATACAGTTTTTTTCAAATTAATCAGTGAAGCAATTTGTCCAAATAAATCTACAGAGAATTATATGTCCAATTTAGACATAACATATCAATATTTTCTTTACAATCCCATCTAATCATTTTAAGCGCAATAAAATTATTAGAAACACGAATCATAAAGCAGTGATTGAAAACAAGCACCGCTCGATCGACACGTATGCCTACTCATTTTGAGTTCACGGCCATTAATAACCCCACGCCCAACAGCAACTCCATATTAAGCGCCGCCATGAAACATCTGACCTCTCTTCCCCTGTGACCTCCCATTATATCCCCTGTGCTCTTTTTGCCACCTTCTCCTTCAGCACACCCTTACCTGTGACCAGCTTCAATACACCTCCTCCTCTCTTTCCACAAACCCTAGTTCTATAAATACACTTCAGCTCTTCACCTCTTTAAATCAAGCACTGGAAGCCATGAGTTTTTCTTCTCCCCGCTTCTCTGTCATCACAATAATCCTCCTTTTTCCAACTGTCATGCTAGGAAGACACATTGCCCCAAGACACACCACAGGTAAATTACATACTTTTATAATCTGCTTGCATATAAATAAACCACAATCATATCAAATTAATCAACTTGATCTTTCAGGTCATGGGAAACATGTTCATGGACCTGAACAGCAAGCTGTAATGGAGCTGCAGAAAGAGCCATACGATAAGAAGATAATGAGGATGCTGGAAAGAAGGCCGAGCACGCTAATGGTGGCGGGCTCGAGCTTGCCCAACTGTTCGCACGCGTGCGGCTCGTGCTCGCCGTGCCGTTTGGTGATGGTGAGCTTTATTTGTGAGGAAGAAGCAGAGACTTGTCCCATGGCGTATAAGTGCAAGTGCAATAGCAAGTCCTACCCTGTGCCATAATTAATCATTGTAATTAATTTGTTAGTGAAGAGCTTGTGTGGTTAGTAGTTGGTGACTGAATAGATTAGGAACGTTATATAAGTCAGGAAAGCTTTTTTTTGGCTAATTCGTGAGAGATTAGGGATCTGACACGTGAAAACGTGTTAGTTGTTGAGCCAAGTTTTGGCTTCTTAAGCCTTCATCTAATCTACTGTAGACTGGTGAGCCCTATTTCTGCAAATTTAAACATTATGAAAAATGTTATTTTTCAGTCGACATGCATGCTGTTTTTATTTATAAATTGATAATGAAATTCTTAAATTTAATTTAATTTCACATTTTAGGTGACGCATGTTTTCAACTGCTCCCAAAAATGTCTGGACAAATATTCGCCAAACCACATTTTAGTTGAGTACATATTGGATTTGTTGATATTCCATTTGATGTTTTAAACGGGTAGAATATGGACTACATCCGAGGAGAAGAAGGGCAATAATCCTCATACAATATCAACAATTTGTTGGGATTTTAAAAAAAAAAAAAAAAAAAAAAAAAAAAAAAAAAAAAAAAACTCCAGGTGGCAAACTAGCCACGTGGCACAATATTTTTAAATTTAATTTTTAATATTTTTTTTTTTGAGAAATTCTATCTTCAAAATTTATCAATATAAGACAACAAACCTATGTTTCAATTTTTTTTTTATCTTGGGGAAGAAAATCATGATTGTTCTAAGAGAAGTAAGTGTGAAAAAAGAGATTGCTAATTACTCTAGCGAAGAGGCATATCAAACAAAAATTATATTTGATGTGCTCTGGAAGATTCATGGTGGTAGATTAATGACTTATCGTCTTAGAGTTGCACGAGAATTCAATACACACTTAAATGAAAGAAACAACCAGTAGAAACACAAAAAAATTCTTACGTTGAAATTTTGTAAAGGGAAATACCACGGGACTGACTCAGTTGAAGAGAGCTACTATAAACTAAATATTACGAGTACAATCCTTGTCCCACAAATTGACAAGGGGGAACTTGTCACAAGAAATGGGCGGCGATTGATGGTGATTAGCGAAGGCCAGTGACTCGTGATCTATAGCGGTCGGCAATGAGGTGATGCCAAACTTCAGCTCATTCTCCAAGTTTCAAGCTCTCCTCCTCATGCATCAAGCTCTCTCCCCACATAAGGGCAGATGGGCTCTATTTATATAGTCCTAATTGTAATTAATGAATGAATATGAACCACTTTAATCTGAAGACTTGAAGAGATTCCGTCGATCAGACGACATTTGATGAATATTTGAGTGTCATAACGATGTTAGAATTTAGCGATCTTGAACTCTTTGGATTTGTCTTGTCAAAATGCTCGATTTGAACATAAATTGATCATCAAAATCAGCATTCGTTTAACCTTCCAATAACGATCGAAAAGCCTCCAAAAGTCGTTTAATGCTTTGATTGGGGCTTGATTCTACTCAGATTGGACCAATTTTAGTATTATTGGGTCTATCTTGTAGAGCCCATTAGTTTGAGAGTAAGTTTATTGAAATTGTACTTCTGGATGACTTTTTATCAAAGCTTGAATATTTTTTTTCAAAAAATGATGCATCAAGATTTGTGTCATGCCTCGAGATTCATGTTTGATGATGAATTTGTTGATGACGTATTAATATTTAATGACGAGCACTAAACAAACTAGCTTAAAATTAAAGGATAAACTTTGATCTGCTTTAAAGCCAAGTGACAAAGAATGAATGTAAGTTGTAGGCAAAGATGAAGTAAAGTTGATCTCAAAATGAGTTCAATTAAAACTCATTAACTTCTTAATAGATCAACCACTTGAAAAAGAAAAGAAGGCAGCAAGAATTTTAGAGCTCTGGAAAGATCTTGTTGATGAAGAGGTTCTTATATAAGGAAAAAAATCAAAATGGAATTTCATGCACAACTGTGGGAGTAAATATTACGCATGACGATCACATGTCCGAACGATATTTCAGATGGGACGTCTTGTGATACACGGAGGTGTGGTTGCACTCAAACCATTGTTCAAACTTAGAGTCGATCGTGCACAATATTTTCTCCAATTGTGGAGTGTATTTATAAGGAAGCAATTTGTTCAATTGGTCGCTAAATAATGCAATGGATAAGTCTAAATTTTCATTAAGGAGATTGTCCCTATCCATATTTGGCTAGATTGATTTAAGAAAGTGAGTATTTTTTTGGTTATTAATTAGTCTGATGACTCTATAATTGATGTAAAATATTTTTTTTTTTCTTAAACTAGGTTTTATAATATCTTTTCAAGACCAAATAATTATAATTAATAAAAAATAATAAATTTCAAAGAAGACTAAAAATACTCACAATTGAACAAATTATGTTGTCTGTTAATACTTAGAAAATAGAAATGAAATGAGAATGTTTAACTTTAGCTCCCTTTTACCCCTTGCACGCTGTCTGTTAATACTTAGAAAATAGAAATGAAATGTCCTCAACAGAGCCTCTTCATCAAATATAGCAACAACGATGAAGAAAATTAGCGAGTCAATATGATGTTAATTTGGCCAATTTTAATATGTATGTAAAACTGCTAAGCCTTGAACAATTGTAGCCCGATTTCAGTTTAACAAAATTGAGACCAGTAGACTATTGTAGCTCGATTTCAATGTAACAATTGTTGTTTTTTTTTATCTTGAGGTTGTTGTTGACTAACCATTATTATTTATGTTTTCATTAAATAACCTTTATTATTATAACAAAAGAAAAATAAGGGATCAAATTATTTTAATCCCATATTCTCTCATTAAGGAGAAGAGTGAACATTTTTAACTTTAATTAAATAGTTGATAGCTTCTATTGGGCCAGACACTATGATTTTAACCATTTTTGTTAGGATTTTCATGTAAGACTTTTGCTATTTTTTATCATATCTATCAATATATTGAATATTTTTAATAAGATATGGCTCTGTTTTTTTCCCATCATCGAGAATTATCAACTACATAACAATTATAATTGCAAAAAATATATACCTAAGATAATGGTTTTGATAATTTCTTTTTTACACCTATAGTAGCAAATTTAACCCTTATAATATCATTAAATTTATAATGGTTTAGATTGCTTAAATCTATATATTAGATATTAAATATTCTTTTTTTTATAGAAAGTTGGTGTTTTGTTATTGTCGCTTTTAATGATTCCTTCATAATGGTAGTAGTATTGTTTAATTTTGTTTTCTTAGCATGATTCCTACCTAATCATAATTCTCTTTTGTCCTATATTCTACCTTAAATCCTAGATTAGTAAATACCCATGAAATTATGGGATTTAGAGAAGAGCAAGTGGGATGGGTTTCCTCTTATGTCTTAAATCCTTGATTAGCAAAAATAAGATATAGAATGTCATAGACTCAACTACATTTCTTTCAATTCATGCCAATCCTTGGCCAGCAATGATAACAATTCTGGTGTTTTATTGATTTAATTTCTTCTCTATAAATCCTATATATCATATACATATATTTTTTTAACTAAATTCAGTTAGAAGACAACTGAAAGCAGCTATTTGGATTTTAATTTGTAAAACATAAAAAAAAAATAACCCTACATTTTTAAGCAGCTATTTGGATTTTAATTTGTAAAACATAAAAGAATAACCCTACTTTTTTTTAAATTGTGTATTATAATTAGACTGTTATTTTTATCATTTTTTTTCGTGTTTGTGTCATAAGTGATGATTTAGTGGCTTTATTTTGTGTTTATATGCTGCTTGGAAGTTAAATCTCTTTTATTTTGTTAAATATATTCAGAAGCTGTATATTTTTTCCCTCGAATAGGCATTTGGCATTGCATTGTTGTATAGCATTTGTTTTTTTTTTATGGTGATAAAATGTCCACTTTCTTTTAGAATTCATTGGAGTTGTAATCCCCTATTCTGCTGAAATGAATGGGTATGTAGGTCTTTGCCTCTCTGGTAGAAAAATTAACAAGTTTTAAAAAAAATATAACCCAACTTTATTAGAAATACATGTTTCAAAAGCTTTTTTTTTGGAATTAAATTTAGCTTCACTTCTCCTTTTCATTATTGTTATATTGTTTCTAAATGTTTTCATGTGATTGGGTGGTGACTTTACAAAACTTTGATCACTCCATCTGAATATGTTCTCTGCCAATTATTCGGGTTTTCACTAAGCAAAGCATCAAAGGGCGCTATAGTTCCTATAAAATCAAGTTTGCTTATGTTGATTTATTGAAAAATCAATTTATATTCTTTATTTTTTTAACAATTGAATTGTACTTAACTTGAATGTTAATTTAGCTTCTTAGTGTTATTGTAAGCTTCTTGGTGATGCTAGCATTGATATCATGCATTGTCTTAGCTTTGAAATATTATATAGGCGTTGATATCATGACTTTTTTCTTAGGTTTGAGATACTATAATGGTTCTCAATGGCTTTAAGAAAGCATCTAGGATGAACTTTATTGCTCGAAGATATGATATGAAGCATATCACTGATTTTTGTGAATTTGTCGTTTGGAGTTGATGGGCACATAAGCCATGAACAATTTTATCACAATGGTTTGGCACATGTGTTATAATGTATGCCCTTTATTTTACATTGCTCAATGTTCTTGAGTTCTATTTTATTGTGTAACATGTTATTTTTCTTACGAATAGATGAGTGTCCTTTGCTACAGCTATTTTATTAGATTTTTTGTCATATATTTTTATTTCAATGTGAGAATCTGTGCCACTAAGGTTTCATTGAAAAGTTTTCTTGCTAGGTTCTATGTGCATTGAATTTGATAGTCTTATATAATTTGAACCATGTTGATGTTACCGTCCGTTTTTTCCCTTTTTTATTTAAGGAGTGGCCAACCTGTCGATCGTTGTACACTCCATTCTCTGAATAAATTTCTCTTCTGGGTCATATGAACGACCCAGATAAGATAGGAACCAGAAAATATGGACATATGACAAAGACAACAGACAAGAGAAAAAAAACAAAACTTGGAGAGCATACATGCGATAAACCTCGCAAAGATATGTCAAGTATGTCGGCCCAAACAAGATCGGGTGGAGACACCTTAGACTAGTATCCGTAAAAAAATACCTATGCAGACCACCCATAACTAGAGAGTTAAGTATAGGTTTCTATTCTGGAGTCATGAACACTACCAAGGGGGACGTATTCCACTTGGTTAATTACATCTCAGGGATGCC